TGTCAGTGGAAGATATGTGGACTCAGTCCCACTACAACCTTAGCCATGTATTTTGAAGTTGTTAATCAGGTATGACTGCTTACATTTAAAAAAACATGTTTTTGGTATTTTGAGATAGAGTATGTAGCTCTAGCTCTTTGGAACTCACTATGTAGACCAGACCAGCCTCAAATTCTTAGTGCTCTGCCTGTCTCCCCTCCTCCTCTTCTCCCATTCCCTCCCAATTCTCCTCTACCCTACCCTCCCTCCTCCATATTTGCTTAGGAAGGGTCAGCTGCCTTAAGACCAAGTACCCCCCCCTGTATTCAGGCTGGGCAAGGCAATCCAGCATGAGAAACAGGTTCCCAAGAGGCAGACAAAGCACCAGGGACAGCCCCTGCCTCCATTGCCAGGAGTCCCACAAGCAGACCAAGCTACTCAACTGTTACATATATGCAGAAAGCCTAGGTCAGTCCCACGAAAGCTCCCTGGTTGTTGTATGAGACTCTGTGAGTTCCCATGAGCCAGGCTAGCAGTTTCCAGACAGGCTGGGTAACAAGGAGGGCCTGAGTGGGGGGCATATGGATCTCCCTGGGAAGTGGAAACAGAGGAGATCTCCAGGGGGACCTGGGACAGGGTAGGTAGGCATGGGAACTTGAGGGGTTGGGTTGTGGGGTGGACAGAGGGAAGAGTGCCAAGAGACATGACTGGAAAGGGGGGCTTAATGGGGTCAGGAAGAAGCCTGATGCAAGAGAAACTAAGAGCTACAAGGATGGCCCCAGCTAAGACTCTTGACAGCAGTAGATGCATAGCCTGAACTGGCCATCTCCTGTGACTGGATTGGTGACAATCCCTGTTGTCATCGGAGAGCCTTCATCCAGTGACTGATGGAGGCAGATTCAGAAATCCATGGCCAAACATTGGGTCTTTTGGCTCATGTTTGGGAGTCCTGCTGAGGAGAGGGAGGAGGGATTTTAGGAGCCAGAGGGGTCAGGGACATCGCAGGAAAACCCACAGTATTTACTCTTAATTGCTGTCTTATCTCCAGCTCCTCCCTCTCCCAACATTAAAAAGAGGTTATTTTTTCATGATTTTTAATATTTTTAGTTGAATGTGTAGAGATCTCTACGTGAGAGACAGGTTGTGTTATTTTAGTGACAGTTTGACTTCCTGTTCCAATTTTGATGCTCTGTTTTCTTCCTCTTGCCTGATTTTGTGGAAGGACTTTTTGTAGTACAATGTTTAGTGACTGGTGAAAATAGGAATCCTTATTTCGCTCTAGACATTAGAGAGAAGCTCATTTTCTCCCACTAAGATGGGATGTCATTTGTGGCCTTTTTTAATGCATGGCTTTTTGTTATGTTGGAGTAGAATTCTTCTATACATAATGTGTTTAGCATTCTTATTAAAGAGTGCTGAATTTTACCAAATGCCTTTTCTGCATCTATTGAGGTGATGTCATATGCCTTTTGTCTTACACTTTATTGCTATGGTACTATCATATCATTTATTCAGTTGCATATGTCGAACCACTCCATAGGAAGAATCTCACTCTGAGAAGATTAGTATTAGTTCTTTGTTGCTGCTGTAGTTAGCAATGTGAACCAGGGAGAGTGGAGGGGCTAAAAATGAGGCAGACTAAAGTCTCATACAGTAGCCAACTTTATTCAGAGCATCAGACAGTTTATACTCAGAGGGTTAAGAAGAGTCACCTGAGTAAAGTGTACAGTGACAAGGACAGGGTGCACGTGACAAAAACATGTTTTTCCATAGAGGCATATAAACAGATAATAGCCAGCTGTAATGAATAATCTAAATGAATTCACTCCTATCCCCTACACATGGAAAGGGCATCAAAACACATTCCAGGAACAACCCAAGTTATGGAGGAGCAGAGATTACAAGACTTCTGTCTTGTTTTCTCACAAGGTCTCAGAAGTCTCACCTAGCTTTGTTCATGGACTGTGTTGTGACAGTTCTTTAAATATCTATTGGGCTCTGTAGTGAAGACTTCTGTCTTAGTTAGACACCATGACTACGGCAAATCTTATAAAGGAAAACATTTAATTGTGGGTGGTTTACAGTTCAGAGGGTTAGTTGATTACTGTCATGGTGGGAAACATGGTGGCATGCAGGCAGACATGGTCCTGGAGAGGTAGCTGAGAGTTCTACATCTGGATTGGCAGATAGCAGGAGGAGAGAGTGACACTGGGCCTAGCTTGAGCAGCAGAAATCTCAAAGCCCATCTCCAGTGACATACTTCCTCCAACAAGGCCACATCTCCCAACAGTGCCACACTCCATGAGCCTATGGGGACCATCTTCATTCAAACCACCACAGCATCTGACACTGAGCTTTATTTTATACTTATTTTATGTGTGTGAATGTTTTGCTTGAATGTATGCATGAGTACCACATGTGTGCCTGGTGGCCTGAGAGTCCAGAAGAGAGCATTAGATGGCTGGAGTTGGAGTAATGGATGACTGTGAGCTGCCATGTGGGTTCTGGAAACTGAACCTGGTGCTCTGGAAGAACAGCCAGTGCTCTTAACATCTGAGCCAGCTCTTTAGCCCCTGGGCTTTCCCTTGCCCTAGAATGATTTTTTTTAGTGCTAGAAAATATGTAGTCTTTGATACTGTGACATGGCCATAGTAGATTTTGCTTTTTGTTGTTAGTAGATTTTAGATTTTGTTCTGACTTCTTTATTTTTATACAGCACAATGCTCCAATTCCTCAAGGAGGACGAGGTGCAGTCCAGTTTGTCACCCAGTATCAGCACTCAAGTGGGCAGAGACGTATCCGAGTGACCACAATTGCTAGGAAGTAAGTTTTTATTTTATTTTATTAGAGGTTTAATTATGTATTGAAAGTATTGTAGCTCATACTCTCAATCTGAGTATCTTATTTGGGTAACATTTATCACTAGAAAATAAACATGTATGATTCAGTTTGTGATTTATTTGTTTTAAACCTAGCTTATTTTATAGAATAGTTAGTTATAAGTTTAATAGTAATTTTTTAAAAGTATTTCTAGAACAGCCAGGGCTGCATAGAGAAACTCTGTCTTGAAAACATAACAAAACAAAAAGTACTCCTCAGGGTTGGGAAGGTAGCCCAGTTGGTAAAATGCTTTCCTTGCAAGCATATGGACCTGCGATCGATCCCCAGAACCCATGGGAAAAAAGCTGGATGTGGTGGAACCCACGTGTAATCCCAGCTCTGGGAGATGGAGATGGGTGAATTGCTGGGACTCACTCGCCTGCTAGCCTAGCCAGTTTGGTGAACTCCAGGCCAATGAGAAATCCTGTCTCAAAGAACAAGGTGCCTGGCTTCTGAGGATGCCACCTGGGACTCTTCCCTGCCTTCCATATCCATGTGCACAAATGTGCAACCACACATGCACACGAGTGCTCCTGAGTCACACACTTAAATTGTGTTTATTATGACCAGGTATGGTGGCACACACTTGTAATCCCAGCACTTGGAAGGTAGAGGCAGGAGGATCAGGAGATGTAGGTCATTCTCAGGGAGTTTGAGAGCATCCTGGCAAACATGAAACTGCCTCAAACACACAGACACACAGACACACAGACACACAGACACAGACACACACACACACACCCCAGGCTGGAGGAATGACTCAGTAGATAAGAGCACTTGCTGCTGTTAGAAAAGACCCAAATTCAGTTTCCAGCATCCGTGTTGGGAAGCTAACAACTGCCTATAACTCTGGTTTCAGGGGATCTAATGCCCTCTTAAGACCTCTGCAGGCACCCACCCACACATACACAGACAGGTTTACATATGCACACTCCTAAATCAAAATTAATAACAACAGTAAAAAAAGTGAACAAATTTTATTTACCTTATCCCCATAGGGAGAATCAAACATTGTATTTAGTAGATACTAATATACACATTGATGTACATATACACTTTTATACATGCATACACATATGTGAAGTATGTTATATAGACACTAATATATACATATATGTACATATACACTTTTATACATGCATACACATATGTGAAGTATATATCATATATACTTAATAATATAGTGCTATGATTAATGACATTTCTTTTCAGCTGATGTTTAGTCTATAACTATAATTTCCCATGTGTTATTGATGCTCTAATTCTTTTATCATACCATCATGCAGCTCCTGCTTTGTGGATTAGGTGCTATTAGGGGCTTGATCCACTATGACGGTGTGGTGTAGACTGCTCTTCAAACTGTCTGTGTTGAAGGGTTAGTTGTGGTTTTTCTTCCCATCCTTTGGAATGAATGCTTTTACTAAGTACAATAAAAGTGAGTTAGTATGAAAACAAAACGTTTAAAGGCCACTGAAAACACATTTTGTTATTTTTAATTGCTTGGTTTGTCAGGCATAAAATTATCCAACATACACACAAATATGCATAAAACTATAAGCGAGCACCCTCAATTAAATGTTTTCCTTCTAAGAGTTGCCGTGATCATGGTGTCTTTTCACAGCAATGAAAACCTTAACTAAGATAGGCTACGTAGTGAGCTCCAGGCCAGCAGGGCCTACACAGTAATACATTATTTATAATATCAGCCACTCAGACTGAGATTCTCACTTTAATTTTTTTCAAATCTTTTTCCCCTGTATGTATATAAGTGTGTGTGTGTGTGTGTGTGTGTGTGTGTGTGTGTGTGTATGGGTGTGTGTGCATGGGTGCACTCATGCATGTATGATCTTGTGGAAACCAGAGGTCAACATCAAGTATCATTTTCTATCACTTTTCATTTTAGTTAGTGCTCGATACAAAATGTCTCTTCCTGCATCCTGAGCTTGCTGTTGCTCTAGACTGGTGGCCAGCAAGCCCCTGGGATCTGCATGTCTGTGCTTTCCTAGCACTAGGTTACAGGCCTGCCTCTGCATCAAGCTTTTTACAGGGGTGCTGGGGATTGGAACTCAGGTCCTTATGATTACATAGCCAGCACTTTATCGGCTGAGCCATTTCCTGGTCCAGCCCATCACTTCATTAGCATATGTCATTTGTACAGAGTGCTGGGGTTCCTTATGACCTTATGCACTTTGGTCATGTCCTTCTTGTTTTCCTTTCTTACTCTCCCTTTTCCCAATCCCTTCCTCGTCTGTGATAGTCCTGCTTTTACTGTCTCCTGTTACTGACCCCTCTAATTCCATGTAGGAATGGAAATGCAATACTTGTCTTTATGAGATTGACTTACTTGATTAACACGATGGCTCTCTAGTTACCCATTTTCCTGGTGTATTTTCATTCTCCTTTACAGTGGAATAAATCTCTGTAGTATATCTAAGGCCACATTTCCTACCCCTTCCTTCTTTTTCCTTTTTCCTCTGTAGCTCAGGCTGGTCTGAAGTTTGCAGTGATCTCCCTTGTCAGTCCCCTCCCGCACCTCGATGTAGCTCTGACTGTCCTGGAATTCACTATGTAGATCAGGCTGGGGTTAGAGGCATGCAACCACTAAGCCCAGCCTGCCTCAGCTTCTTATGTCCTAGGATCATAGGCCTTCACCATTGTGCTCAGCATGCTGTTTTCTTTGTCCATCCACTCATTAATGGGTGCCTAAGTTGGTTAGGTAATGTAATGTGATGAGAATACAGAGTAGACACAGATGTGTAGGTGTCTCCTGTAAGGGCAGACTGATTCTTTGAGAGTGGTTTTGCTGGATCATATGGAAGTTTTATTAAAAAAATATTTTCATTTTTGAATTATGTGTGTGCTTGTGTTTCTGTGGGGGTGTGTGCATGTGGGTGTAGGTATCTGTGGAGGTAAGAAGAGGGAGCTGGAATTACAGGCAAATATGAGTCCCTAGATATGGGTACTGGGAACTGAGCTCAAGTTCTCTGGCAGGGAAGCAGGCACTCTTAACTGCTGAACAGTCTCTCCAGCCCCAGGTGTGGTAGTTTTCATCTTTTGAGGAGACTTACTACTGCTTTCCATGATTTTTTTTAACCTCTTTTGTTTCTGAAAGACAGGGTCTCATGTATCTCAGGCTGGCCTCAAATTTTCTGTACAGCTGTGTCTGTCTTTGAATTCCTGATCTTTCTGTCTCTAACTCCCAGGTATTGGGATTATAGGCTTGTACTGTAAGGTTGAACTCCCTCCCTTAACTTTTTATCTGTCTTGGTCAGTATATTAACAGGGAAAGAGAAGAGTACAAAGCAGTTTTAGATATGGGATTTTTATCACTGATGATAGAACTAAAGGCTAATGAGAATAAAATTCTGATGTTTTGTTTGCCAGTGTATCAAATGATTCTCTAAGGTTGAGGATAAAACTTTTATTTTTATATTTTAAGTTTTTGCTTTTGTAAAATTGAATATGATAACATTCAACATAGAATTATGTAGTAAGATAAAGACTAATACTGCCATTCAGTGGCATGGGCGAGAAAGATGCCTTCCCCCTATTCGCCATCTGTGGCAGGCCAGAGAGCTGGCCTTGGGAACACTAGAGTGGGAGAGCTGGCCCTGACCCTCACCAGCTGCATCACTCAGGGACATGAGATTGGGAGAGCAGAAGAGTGGGCCCCTTACCTCATCTGGGCAGTACAACAGAGCTGGTGGTCGTGGTGGTGTGAGTACTTGTGAGCTGGCCCTGAGGGCATGAGAGTGGGAGAACTGGCCCCACCCCTTTCTACCTGCATCATCGAGTGAGCTAGCTGGGGCAGCACTAGAGAGCTCACCGTGGTGGTGAGGTAGTGGGAGAGCTGGCAGTCTGACCAATTCAGCTACCATACAGGCCCAGAGTCAGAGCTATGAGTTGGCCAGCTCCAACATCCATCCCACTTATGAACTGCTGGAGCATGAGAGGGGGCCAGTCCTGAGACCCAAAGCTGCAGGATCTCCATGAGACAGGGCAACAACAGGATATCAAAGAGGAGTACCAGGAAGGATCCAGTATTGATAGTGTAGCAGAAGCCAGAGGTCTCGAACTGGACCAGTGGTTTATTGCAATGAACATTTGCAAGTAAAGATGTCTGGACTAAAGGGTATACTGTGTGACTCACGGTGACACTCTACAGCTTTCATGATGAGATTTTTATTTGTTTGTACATATGTTTTATCTTTTTTTAAAAATTTATTTTGGCGGGAGGTTGCTAGGGCAGAGGATGGATACAAAGGGACAGGGAGATGAGTTTGGTTGGGGTACATGATATGAATTCCACAAAGAATCAATAAAAATTAAAGATAAAGACTGATAGGAATTAGTATTTGTCTATACACATGTATATGGTATTCTCAGTATATAGTGTGTATTTGTGTGCATGTGTATGGACTTTTTTATGTAAAAAGAATTCTTAGGAATGATGTCACCGTCAGGATTTCTACATCATACACATTCACTGATGCTATTTCATTAAAAATGATCTTGATTTGTTATTTATGTGTGCACATGTGCAGGTCACTGTAGGCAAATAGAGGTCAGAGGAGCGCTCTTAGGAGTCAGTTTTCTCCTGCCACATTGTGGGATCTGGTACTTGAACTGAGGTTGTAGGTCTTTGTGCTGGTGTGTCTACTCACTGAGCCGTCCTCCTGACCCATTCTATTTACTTATCAAAATCTTGATGTCTTACAGAATATGTTTCGAGAAGTTCCTTTAGAGTTATTTTAAAAAATATTTTAAGGTTTTGTTTTTATGAAAACCAGTGTAATGAACAGCTAATTTGTGATGTTTTAATAATGCTAATTAATCTGTGTAGTATTAGAATTTTGAAATGTTGAGGAGGCATTCTGTATTCTCTTAAGTGTAGCTCTGTGTGGTAGCCAACTGTGGTATTATGTTATAATTCATCTCTATTTCTGTGCTTTCTTATTTCTTTAGCTGGGCAGATGCTCAAACTCAAATCCAAAACATTGCTGCATCTTTTGACCAGGAAGCAGCTGCCATTCTCATGGCCCGGCTGGCAATATACAGAGCAGAAACAGAGGAAGGGCCAGATGTGCTAAGATGGCTGGACAGACAACTCATTCGACTGGTAAGAAGCGGACATTGTGCTTTTCTCAGCTTGTCAGCTTTCCTTTATAGTAAATGTCCTTTAAAGCACTTACAGTGGGTGGAAGAACTGTACGAAGAACTAATTCAAAGTATGACCTAGTGAATAGAAGTATTCACTCCTTGAAAATGAATGGTAATTATGCTACTATTATTTTTGTGGTGTGGAATAGTGTGGAAATTAATTTTATATTACTAATTCAATGAATTTTGTTTCTGTTTTGAGACAGAGTTTTTGTGTAGTCTTGGCTGATTAGTCTTTACTCTGGCTTCTATTTTCTGTTTTAATTTCAGTTTAATATCACTATGTAGACTGTCCTTAAAGTTACTCTCATATCCTGAAACCATAGGCTTAAGCAGTTCTTTTTTTTTTTTTTTTTTTTTTTTTTGGTTTTTCGAGACAGGGTTTCTCTGCGTAGCTTTGCGCCTTTCCTGGAGCTCACTTGGTAGCCCAGGTTGGCCTCGAACTCACGGAGATCCGCCTGGCTCTGCCTCCCGAGTGCTGGGATTAAAGGCGTGCGCCACCACCGCCCGGCGCTTAAGCAGTTCTTAACATTTCATTTTTACCTTGTAAACTCTATCCTGTACTTTTTTATTCTGTCTTCAACTTAAACACATGGTTGAGAATTGTCTGTTAGCTACCAAGAGAGCTGCCTTTAACATTTCCCTCAGGTGTTACAGGTGAGCTTGGTTAGAATTAGCTACTTTTGCAGTATTGTCTAGATTTCTCCAACATAAGATAACCCCTCTTTCCCAACACCTCTTAGTGAAGAAAGCGGTGTTGTGATATTCAATATGTCTTTTCAAATGAGCTTTAACCTTGGACAGCCACCAGTGATGGAACATTGTCACCACCAAGGCTGGCACAGATCCTCCCTGGGCCTTTGATTCTAGATGGGGAAAAATGATTAAGAAACTTAATTGTGCTTCTTTAAAACGTCAGGATATATTTATAAGAGAAAAATTTCCATGACTATCACTATCAATAGATCCATATACATTCCTGAGCCTCCAACCTGCCTACAAAAGCTATTTCCAGTTTCTTGCACACACCTCCTCGTGTCA